GTGCAGGAGAAGGAACGGGGTGTTTTTTAGTCTGTATGAGTCTGACACTCCCTCCCGCTTCAACGAGGCGGAAGCAATCAATTGATGATTTTCCCCCCTTAAAAAAAATCTTCTAAGTTAATTAAAATTACGGCTTCCACATGTCAGCTATTCGACAAAAACTCTACTAGTTTCGAATCACAGCGAGACTTTTTCATGAGTAGCGTGTGAGGTGCGGCGACACATCGCGCAGCCATCTGGCTACTCTAGCACAAGCTACTGCTCTTACTGCACTGCAGGCAACTGCCTCTTCTTAGAAGCAGCTATTAGACGAAATGACATACACCTTGAAATATCAAATCAAAACGACCCAATGTCGATCAGAATTTAACAGAATCAAAAAGAGAAGAAAGACATCTGACAAGTACTCTGTGAACACAATACTTTATTTCCCTAAGGCAATGACGATACCCCTTAATTAGCAAAATCATAATCCCAAAAACAATACCTATTTTGGTGTTTATCTTTCCAAAATTTATCCAAATCGTCTAAATTCTAACAATCACACAACAGTTCCTGATTCTAAGGAATATTTCGAATAAATTAATTATTCACGCGAATTAAACCTGTTAAATTTGATTAAATTTGCAAAGGAAGTTATAGGTAACAATCCTAAGATCCTTTGGTATACATAACTGCTTTCGTAACCAACTTGGTGTTATAAAGGAGTTATATCATAGCTAAGTTTTGAAATGTAGCAGAATTATTGTAGATTAGTCTAAGTGGTGAATAGTTACACCTTGATGTTCTAAAAGTTTCTCAGTAGGAAATTATATTAATACATCAATCTTTATTCTTCAGATGATAAATAATTTCGATTATTGAGATACCTAGATGTACCTACAATACTAAATACTTTCTGCTACTTATTCAAGTTAGTATTTTTGGCTACATTATTTAGGTAGGGGAACAATTTTCAATTATAATTTCTATTATCAATATTCTACAGCTTGCTAATATATTTTTTATGGGATACGCCGACAAACGAGCATAAGGATCACCTGATGGTAAGCAATCAGCGTGGCCCATGGATACCCGGTATACAAGTGCGTTACTGGCCTTTCCTTTTGAGGATTAGCAATTTGAGGATTGTTGGGATTCAGGGATTACGATTATTGGGCCTCCGGTAACCTCACTTAAAGGACAAAACAGACCGCAAGCGTTGTTTCACGTCCGTTTTCTGTGAGGCCGTGGTATCACTCCGGTCCAGCGAAGCATGGCCATTCGTGTCGAAGCACGACTTTCCCACACTAATAGATTTTTAAGGTATCAAAGAATCGACAATAATAAGTCTTCTGTAGAAAAAATATTGAATAGAGTTGGTATTTCACCGAGATAGTTACCAACATAAATAAAGAAATATCGTACGTAAATACTTTCAATATCATCCTTATTAAAATATCGATTCTCAAGTCTCAAACGCCTATCAGACGCCATCTTATCCTTGACTGCAAAACTACAAGAATACATGACTTAATTTTCATTCTACTGGCCGTCAGAAACTTTAGCATTACCTAGAAGAACAGTTGTAATTAAGAAGCTTAGCTATTATGCAGATAAACCCAGTAACAAAAGATAGACGAGGCCTTAATAATTGTCTGTCGAAAAACATAAAGCGATCGTGATTCTGTGAATATTTCAGCTAAAGATTCCAAGATATTTAATAGCCCATAAACGATGAAAGGATCAGAAATATGATAGACGAGCTTTGTTGGTCTAGGATAATTGGAAATTTTGATACTACAATTATTTAATAGTATTTGTTGGAACAAATGTAACATTTATAATATTGAAATCTAATCGTGTTCAACAGTATCAGTGTACGGGAATCAACCAGACAATCTACAAAAACAAGTTAACTTAGTAATAAATTAAAGTTACTACTAAAAAGATAATTTCAAAGGCAAATAAAGATGACCTATAAACTTATGTACAACTCAACTGATGAAAACAAAAAGTGCCTATAAAAATTCTACATTTTTACTATTCATAAATTTAAAAACTCACCAGCTTTACAAAATTTTGCTGTACTTCAACCCAAAAACAAACGAGCACTCCATTTTATTTTCCAAACCCATATCAGCATGGAAACTGTCCAACATTTGTTCGGTTAAAAGTCGCTCGTTTACATTAAATGCTCTACCAACACCAACATCAGTTATTCTGCGGTAAATTTTGCTAATAGTTCAAAAAAACATTGTTCAGGGCCTCTACAAGCTGTTTACGCATCCTTACATCCTTCGCCGTGATTTTATTTTTATTGTCTTTTGTTTTTTCATCTGTGGCTCATTCGCAAACTCAAACCCCTCTCGCGAAAATTTGCTGCTCCACGTTTTAATTGAGAAAAGTATTTACTGTTTCAATATTGCCCGACATTGACGGTATTTTTTATCCTCATATTTCCGAATTTTTTGATTTGCACGCTTCGGATAATGGCCGAAATATTTTTTATGAAAACAAATTTTGTGGATCGGAAAATTTATTGAACACTGGTTATTACTGTTTTAACAGTACATTACGAAAAAGTATGAAGCTATATTATTTTTCTAGTAAGTTATTTAATTCATCTCCAGAAATTTTTGGACTAGCACTAAATGATAAACGAGCACGCTTGTATACTACCTCTATAGTTACCTATATTTTGTACCTACATTTGGTTCATATCATAATTATTGTATTTTCGTTAGCCGAGTGGTCACAAGTGCGACTATCGGGCAAGGGGTCTCGGGTTCGATTCCCGGGTCGGGCAAAGTATTACTGGGTTTGTTAAAAATATCTCAGTAGTAGCACGGAGTCTGGAAATGTGCCCGGTATATGGCAATAGGTTTACATGGGACTCATGACATAAACAGTGAAAAGTGGGTGTTACTTCTGTGCGCACCTCTGCCTACTCCATTGGGAATAAAAGGCGTGATGTTATGTTATGAATGAAAGGCAAAATAATGGTCATACTCAATTGAGCCATTTTCCTAATTTAAACTACAGACGATGAATTATTTACGTTTCTTTCTGAAACTGTACATAGCAGAAAAGTGAATTACATTCGACTTACCTAAGGAACTCTTGTGCTATAATAATTCATGTTTCTAGACCAACTAGACATGTATACATTTTGTCTAAAAGAATTTCAAAAACTTTATAATATATACAATCCTTTGTCAGCAATATTCTAAGAAATTTTCCATCCTGTATGAAATTTCCTTTTGAAGAAAACCTTTTATAGACCTTCAGAGAGCTGATAAATTAATTACGAAATGTAATATTATAATATCTCTTTGTGCCCTTATTTCATATTGCTTGACAACAGATGCGTCTTTTCTATCATTTTTCCCTATTAAACGTCATCACAGCAAAGCCTATGACCACCTTTTTCTTTCATAATATTATATTCCCCTACACAGTTAATATACACATTATTCAATAACAAATAACTGTATATCTATGAATAAAACCTATGTTATACTAGTGTTAATTAACATTCTGAGTTACTTTTTATTAAACACGAATAATGTGATTTTTAAATTATAATTAGTATGATTTTGTACTAAGCACACAGGAACCATTGTGTATTCCGTTCAACGTTGTAGTATAATTAATAATGACTCGTAATATTTTATTTATCATCGACTTGAGAACGTACGTTTAATGTTTTTCAAGTAGTATTTGTTGTATCGAAAACATACTGGCTAGATTATAAAATAAAATCTGAACAATTTAGGCCATCCACGACGCAGCACTAAACAAATACATGCAGCCTACAAATGACGTTAGGCTGGGAGTGATGTGCCGTTTCGTGGACAGTTTTTATTGTTTCTAAACAATATTTAAGGATTTATTATTTGTAGACCGCCTATTGTCCTTTGTAGGTTGCATGCATTCGTCAAATGTCGGGTCGCGTCGTGGATAATATACCTTAATAACAGGTCTAACAAACCTGCCAATTCCTTTATATTACTCCGCATATCATGTATTCTTTCTTAAGTGCCATACAAAAATACAATATCCACCGACAAGTATTATGTCTGTGGGAGCACCAAAAACCGCGTTTCCAGTAACTCCGCCATTGTCTTCGAAAAATATTTCGTGATATTTCGTTTCCTTTACAAAATTGCTTTAAGGACCTTTCACCGAGAGTGGCAAACGCCAAAGAAAAGTTAAACCAATTATTCGACAGTAAAAAATATCAAAGCGTTTGTTGTAACGAAGTTATGGATTCATTTATAGATTTCACGCTACTTGGATATCTTCGATCCAATCATATTGATGGTGTTAGTGAAATGTGAAAAGAAAATTAAAACTGTTTTTTTTTTAAACTTCGAAGTGTTCCTCCTTCATACTATGCTTATTTGCTACAAGGTAAGCTTAAGATAATAATATATCCATATTGATTCTTGTCTACATGGAGTTAAACATTTAATGAAACAAAAAAAAAACTCGAACAACTACGATCAAAGACATTTCCATTCAATCATTTGGTTTAACATCCAATCAACAAAAGCGACAAGATTTTAAATTTGATTACTTCAGTCAAGAATGAATGTAAAAGAGAATTAAAACCTGCGCTAACAACGACTCCATTGTGATTAAAGTGAAAAATTAGTCTGAAAATTTTGTCTCTGTCAATCTTGGGTTCCACTTTGTTACGTTGACGAATCACTCGAGTGTACAGAACCCTTCGGACGAACTTGGACCAAAGTTTTATTTCGTTATCTCTCCTGGACGGAATCGAATTGTACAATTTTTGTAGCTCTATTCAATATTTGGAGTTTTATAAAATTGACGTGTTTTATCTATTACTCTAACCTTTTGTGGGAGTATTTTTCAAAGGGCGTCCATAAGCCTAGTTGAGAAAATAGTTCACATTCAATAAAAAACTAAAATGTGTAATTAAAGTCTCATAATTACTTATTCAAGAGCTTTCATATCGATGTTATATATTATTATTATATATAGACACTTACCACATCAATCAGTGAACATAGTCAACATTCATTAACTCCACACCACCACTTTTGAAACACTAAGAATTTTAACCTAAAAAAAGAAAATTAAAAAAAGTTTGAAGTTCACTTTGAAGTCAAATTAATTCACAATAACTATTAATCGGAATAATTTGAATCAATGATAAACTTTGAATATTAATAATCGGGATGTTTTATCGAACGGAGTGGGAACGGTGCGGTCGGGGATCAGACGTCCTGCCCGCGCGACGTTTCACTGGAGACTGGTAGTGAAGCTGAAAATCTGAAATATTTGACGATCCCTGTGGGCAGCCACCCGCTGCCGAGAAGATAAGTCCAATAGTACTTGCGCTAAGCTGATTACGAGACTTGTTTCAGATTTCTCTATCTTCAATGTTCAAGTTTACAGATTATGGACACCTTAAGGACCAGTTAGGAGATTGTTTTGGTGTTATTATTGGGCAGTATTATTTTGATGCTGTCGTTTGGTTTCGTTTAATCTTTATTTGTTTGCATTTTATATAAATAGCTTACAGACATTACGCTTTTAAGTTTAATTCCTTTGTTGATTACGTTAGCTTAGTGACAATGAACTAATATAGCTGTCACATAGAAATTTAATGACTACAAAGGATTATTTAACTTGTATTGGAATGCACATTAATTTCCGTGTAGAATAGAAAGACTTATCAAGACTGGGACTAGACCACACAGCAGAATTAAATAAAAATGACGATCTATACAGAAAATAGTTAAGACCTTGTCACTTCAGGCATATTTTTTCTTCGAATAAAATGCTCGAAGATATAATTATAGAAGTATAAAACAAATTCTACTGTTCTTATAACAAAGTTTGTTCACTTAACAAGACTTTGAAATATATGAAGACATCACAAAAATTGATGTTCAACATCTATGACAAAATTACGAACATTATTCAGATTGAAAAAATAAAATCTCAGTTGTACAAAAGTAAAGTTTTGTAATAGCTAGCTTTTCGCATGCGACTTTCGTACGGAATTTAGATTGTTCTTATGTAAGTTAACATCATGTAGAAATATTGGACTGGATCAAAATTGCCCTATTGTGTTCGCTGAGAATTCAACTGTGCCATAGTATAAATAAGTTTTTTTTAAATCATGACACTAAAAAGTGTCAACGTTTATTTGCGATGCAAACAAACAATCAATCAAATGCTTCTTTTTATTCCTAATATAGATAAATCTAAAATCTTTAGTTACTTTTCGGATAAATAAATTGGCGCAATATCGTGCTCAGACTATCTGATTACCTATTTGTTTTATTCGGTTTGCCTTGACTTAAAATTTTCTTTGCTGTGTGAAATAACTTGTGTTAAATTACTCGTCAATTGTATAGATAGATACACATAAACTTGTTCAATTCTTTTGTCTGTTCATTTGAAGTTAGGTGATTGTATGAATATCATTCTCATCATTGAAATAACGTTATTTTTTGTGTAATAATTAAATACAATAAGAACTTAAAGAGTAATAATAAATTTCACAATAATTATCCTCGACCCAGACGTCGAAACGAGATCCGTTTAGATATTTGCTAACGTCGTTTCCTTATTCTTGCTTACCCCTTTACGGAAAATAACACGTAATTTATGTTATGTTATGAATACAGTTATATATCTGTATAACCAGTTTGTGGTAAACCCATACAAACTTAAATTAAAGTTTAAAATGCGGAATCCATACAAAAGTTACCTAAGTTTGTGGTTTCTTACTTTTAACACAAATTAAAAAAATATTATTAAACACGGAAGTTTTGTTTCACCTTATACTTTTCTATGCTACATCACTACAGTCAATCTAATAAAGATTAGAAGAATGCAAACCTCCGTACCATGCAGTTATTACTGTAGCTCACCTATTTCAGTAACTCGTCGAGTACCGGTTTTGTAGACACAATTATAGAACAATAGGTTGCGGTCACCGGTGACCGCTTGGTGTTTGACAGTTTAATCCACACCCCCATCCATACATACTTCTAAATTCTAAACAATTCTGAAAAGAAAATATTGCATTTTTTAACGGTTGGGAGACATAGATAGGTACTAAAGTAACTATTATGTTTTTCAGCTTAATAATTTAACGAGGAACTCGAATAGTTTAAAACCATGCTAGATGATCATATTCTCTCAGACTCATATATAGAGAGTAGCAGCGCGACAGTCGCCGACAACAGCCAAAAAACATATATATACATATCATCACGCCTTTTATCCCCCAAGGGGTAGGTAGAGGTGTACATTACTTAATGCCACTGTACAATGTAACAACCACTTTTCACTATTTATGATATGAGTCCCATGTAATAGGGGGTGAGCATATTGCCATATACCGGGCACAACTCCAGACTCCGTGCTACTACTGAGATTTTTTGAAAAAGCCCAGTAATACTTTGCCCGTCCCGGGAATCCAACCCCAGACCCCTTGCCTTCATAACTGCCTCGTTGGCAAAACAACCGAAGTACGTTATTTTCTACCAAAAAACATAATAATGAAAATTTATTGCATCTCAATGTTTTGTGCAGCTTCTATAAATACTTAAATTAATAATAAATACATACTTACAATAAAAAGTAATAATAATTCATTGAGATACCATTTTGCAAAAACGCTATACTTTATAATAAAATCACATAGAAAACGTTAATAAAACATTGTAAAACTATTCATTTTCTTTAGATGGAAATGCAACATATTTCATTACGATGCCAACCACTGTGATATTGTATGTTTTTCTAATTCATTCATATCGAGTCCAGTCTGCTATATACTTTTTAATTGCGTGATGTATGTACGAAATATAAATTATTAATTATGTTTATTTTTTATCACGGATATCATTATGACAGTCCTTACTACCTTACTTAGATTATAAATACGAAATAATTATTTTATGGGCTTAATTAGTGGGTAGGTAGGTAGGTAGGTAGGTTTATAAGACACTAGCTTTTACCCGCGGCTTCGCTCGCATCACAAAAGGATAAAAAGCCAATTTGACATATACCAATACACACAGCGCCATCTATACCAATACTTTTGTTTTCACTCGAGAATATAATTTTTTTCCGGGATAGCCTATTATTTAATCTGGACTTCTAACTATACATCTGCAAAAATTCAAAGCAATCGGTTTAGTAGTTATGGCGTGAAAGCGGAACAAATAAACAAACAAACAAACTCACTTTCCGATTTATAATATTAGTAAGGATAACTATTTATAACATAAATAATAGATAAACAAATGATAGTATGTATTTTTCTTTTAATATTGTTCGGAGCAACGCAACCGAACAGCTCAGCATTTTACGTGCAAACATTTTTATAAATGGCGTCGAATTTTACGTTTAGAAGTAGCACGTAATTACCGGTAAACTCGTACAAATCAAATCATCTATTAGTATTAACTATTTAAACCATAATTTGGAGAATTTAATATATTCATAAATCAACCATAAATTAGTATATTTTTATCTCACCATTGATAATAATCGATTACCATATAAGTATAATTATATAGGTACGCAATACGCGTGCATATTTATGCTGTATTTATATAGTTGTAGTAGGTATAAATTTTGAATATTTTTTAGTATCTATATTTATAAAGTCTATTTATTTTATGTTATTTGTTCCTTCTATTTAACCCTAAGGTTGACTGGGAGAGAATGCCATATGGCATTAATGTCTGCCTTACGTACCATCACTTGTTTCTGTGTACATTAAAGTTGAAATAAATAAAATAAATAATCAATTACGTACAAAATCTATAAAAAAGGTATTCGCTTCGTACGTAGTGACGCACCTTTTTTACAAATATAAATTCAGAAGTTTTTATGTTTGACTCTAGTATAGTTGACACAGTATGATCAATGAGAGATTACTGTTTGTAATAAAACCATAGTTCGAGAAAATGTTTATATTTAAGAATATATCAAGTGGATTTAACTTTGAAAGTACATAGTATATACAATATTACATAAAAAAGTTAGTGAATTTTCACATCTTTAAAGATCAACAGCTTTGATATATTATATTGACTTCAAACCTTTTACAAAGTTGCCATTTTTATATTCAAGGTTAGCAGGTTGTATGAAACTCTTGTAAAACAATAGCTCTATAGAAATCGATTCTTTGTTGAACTTAGATCAAGGGCGATGTGTTAAGATGTGAATCTTAAGGTTAACGTAAGGCTTTTAGTAAAACAATGCTTTTATCACATGAAAGCACCGTATTCTCATTAAATTTAAAATGAATCTAATCTTTTTCATACATTAATAATTTGCAAATTTCTATCGAATAGGAAAATGTTCAGACATATGTACAGTTATATATATAGTATATCCGTACAAACATTTCAGTCCAATAAGTTGATTTCTCTAGGTCTCAAATTCAGGTGATTTAAACACCATTTTAAAACCCGAATAGAAAATTCGTTGGAAATCCGACATGAACGTAACAACTAGACTAACGTGACGTAATTATTTAATTGGATTTTGACAGTTCAATTGCCTATAATTGCTTAATCCTCAGTAACATATTGCGAGTGTCAGTAATCCGACAGATTACCTACCCTGCAAGGATTCCAAAATGATCGATATATGTAGGTCTGTAAGTACTTACAGTAATATTGTTGCCAATAGGATTATTGTTGAATTTAGGACAAAAAGTTAAAGTAGTCTAGACTTTTCCTAAACAATATATCATAACAATATAATACACACTACACTGAAAGGGTTGATAAAGCCCTTTCTTGGTCGTTTCACTCTTGGCAGAGCGGCCGTGGTCACGTTGAGGCGGCCGTATGTGTGTTGGAGGCAGATACTATTTTCCTCACAAGCTCTCGCCATCTTTTCCTGTTTGTGGATTGTCTGGCGCAGTCTTACACTGGATTTCCTGTTGCTGATTTGACTTTATCAGCTCAGTGTATAGGTGATCTGTCTCGTGATCTGGTTTCCTCTACTTTCCCCTAAACGACCAGCCGCTCTATGGAGTTGTTATCATGAAGGGAGACATGGCCAAAGTACTGCAGTATGCGCGTCTGTACTATGCTTGATAGACACTTTGTGATGCCGAGTTCTCGGAGTATGGTACGGTGCGGAACTCAGTCCACGATACGCCAAGCATCTTCCTCCAGCACCACATCTCTAGAGCTTCTATTTTCCACTTTTCCAATTCACGTACT